GGCATTTATTCCAAATTTAAAAATCTAAAAAATTCAATATAAGCAACCCCTAAAAGCCCCCTCTTGGGTTGCACACACCTCTTTCACCCTTTTCGGAATACACTAAATGGTCCGGCCAGGCCCGTGTGCGAAATACGCTGCAGTCGGAAAGCGCACGTTAAATCTTCTATATCAGTCAGTAGTTGTCTCAGCACTACACAATCAGTAATCTAAAAAACAAAACAAAAATCCTCATCCTAACTGACTCCCTCAGTGGACTACAAGCCCTCAAAAATAAAAAACACTAAAAACCACCCCAAACTAATAAGTCAAATACTCAATAGCTCAAACAACTTAACTAGGGCAGGTAAACAAATAGAGTTCATTTGGACCCCCGCCCACGTAGGAATCTTTGGAAATGAAAAGGCAGATAAAGCAGCAAAATTATCCCTTTAACTCCCAGAAATAAGCTTAAACTTACCCAGCTCAAAATCAGAAATCAAAAGTCTCACTAAACAAAAAATCAACAAAAAATGGCAAAATATATACCAAAACTTAAATAGCCAAATCAGGAAAGTACTAAAAAAACACCTAAATAAACCAAAAATACTACACCCATCCAAACAAATCGACAGAATAATTACTAAACTACAAACAGGCCGCACCAAACTAAATAATCACCGTAAAATAGCTAATCTACACACAACAGGAAACTGCCCACACTGCAAACAACAAGAAACACCAGAACACGTACACATTCACTGCACACACTACCAAACACACCGAACAACACTACAGACCACCCTAAATCTTAAAACCGGACTTACACTAGAATCAATCCTAAATCCATAAAATAAATTAGAAAAATTCAAAGCCTTAGGTTTATACCTAATTAAAACAGGACTAATTAGTCGCATTTGAACCCCTAATAAAATAATAAAACCAAAACTACCTTATCTAACAACCACCCAACACACACAGCTCCCTTAGTTCGTCCCCCACCCACTCTTGGCATTCTTTCCAAATCTCAAAATTTCAAAATTACTATATAAGCAACCCCTAAAGCCCCTAATTCATAGTCTTTTTATTGTTCAAATTACTGATAAAACATATTTTAACTTGTTCCTTCTAACCATATTTCCAAACATTTCCAAACATTTCCAAACAATTCCAAACCATTCCAAACCATTCCAAGTCATTCCAAACATTTCCAGTGTTGGAAATATGTTTGGAAATGTTGCCATTCCAATTTTGGATTTTTTGGAAAGATCGATCTTTCCAAGCTTTGGAAAGTTTGGAATGAGCGATCTTTCCAAAGCATTCCAACGTTCATTCCAAATTGGAATGGACGCTATTTGGTCTTGTGATAGTCGCCATGGGGAAACATTGACGTTCATGTTGTTGAGGAAGTCCCGTGTCAGTCTTGTGGTATGGGGTCTAGCAATATCTACCGGAATATCGCCAAACGTCATCCCGACACCTCTGCGCAGTAGTGCTGCATTGAATGCTAACCAGCCTCCAATGACTGCTCCCAAGACCATGACAACACTACTTCAAAATGGCTGAACACTTCCTGTACTCAGTTAGGTGCTAGGCGTTTAACTTGACATTTGCAATAACCTGCCGATCATAAGCTCGAAAGAGGAAAAATCTGCTTTCATCATCTGGTCATTATCAACTTGTTTTGTCTTTCCACAGTGTGGTCGATGTGCGCCATGTTTCCTCAATCGCCGTGACACGATGTCCGAGTGCCGCCGATGTCGTTCCAGTCGCGAGGATAAAGCGGTTTGGAAATGAAGTCCACGAATTAAAACACACCCGTGACGTCATTCTATTGTTTCCATTTTCTTCACGAACGACTGCACTAAACATGTTCGATATCATGGGTCTGCCCATCCTAACATACAGCTCCGAAATTTTGGGATACGATGTCATGGATCAAATCGAGAGAGTTAAGACTAAGTATATTAGAAGAATTCTGTATCTGCCTCTGGGTGCTTGTAAAGATGCTGTTCTTGGGTGGTCGACCTTTAGTATTTCTCACCTATGTAACAAAATTTGTAAAATATTGGGCGAATCTAGTCACGATGAATAATAGCTGACTACGGAAGCAAACGTATCTAATGCTGTATAGATTGGACTGTGTAAACATATCATATTCCAGTTTGGCTTTGGCTACGCCTGGGTTATGCAAGATGTTGGAAATGTTTATCGTTTTATATTTTACTTTATATATAACAACGTGTATTGGATTACAACATCCAACAATGGTATTCATCAATATAATCAAATCCAAAGTTAATGGCATATTCAACATACAGATCAGTTTTAGAGACCGAGGTATATCTCGCACATGTCACCTCTACACTATTGAAACTAGCGCTGTAACGATTTAGATGTGGCTGTCATCAGTTCATGATCGAAATGGGCAAACGCAGTGGTATCGATCCAGAATGTCGCTAGTGTAGATATTGTTTTCAATTAAATATTAGTCTAGTGGGAAATGCATATCATTTTGCACTTTTCTGCCCTGCTTTTAATAATTTAAGATATCAATACATTGATCTTAAATACTTTGTAAATCCGTCACTGGAATCCTTTGTTCGCCTGATGTCTTCATAAACCTACTATTATACAGTTATCCAAATTCATATTGGATGCAATGAAATTGTATAAGCCGCTTCCTCAGTAACTTGTATTCCGGTAATGTTATGTTCTATGGCCTTGTGGCCTCTAACTTGAAATAAAGATGTTGATATGGAATATACATAACTTGTTTATATATATAATAATATTTGTGGACTTAAAACACAACCTTGACGGGTGCCAGTGTTACAGGTAAAACACTTATATACACCTTTAGGGGTTCTTACACAAGCAGATAAATTATTATACATTGATGTGATTATATCCAAAAATGTAACATCAATACCAACTTCACACAATACCTGCAGGAGAATATCATGTCTTGGAGTGTCAAATGCCTTTGAAAATGAAGAGGCAGTAAGATACGCCCCTTTTCTTACCAATGTATTTTTGAGCAGATTGTAATAAAAATATATTATCAATAGTTGAGTAATGGGCCCTAACACAACTTGATGTTCGTTAATAATATTATAATTCTCACACCAGTTCTTGTAGACGGCTGTTCAAAATAGGCGTTGATACTTTACAGATTGAGTCTATTAGAGAAATGCGTCTAGAGTTGTTAGGGTCATTTTTACAACCAGGCTTGAAGAGAGGACTTGGAGGGGGGCTGATGGTCCTGTTCAATGACATGTTTATGTCTGGTAGGATAAATACCCTTCGTGTAAGCTGCTACATCACGACAAAACATATGCAACGCTTCAACAATGTAAGAGTGCAAAAGATTACATAAATAACACAATCACTTGCTAAATAGGCACCCAATCTGTGTGACAAACTTATTTTCATAATCTTTAGACCACACATATTTGGTCCACTGTTCCGAGCCCCGTCAGGCTCCTGAGTCTTTTCCTCATGGGCACCAGTCTTGGAAGTAGCATACGAAGAGGTGTTACCGTGGTTACTGGAGGTATATGTGCGGGGGATGAAAAGTTTAATGGGAAATGACATGACAAATCAAACGTACCAATACCAAACTTGGAAATATGAGGGACTATGACGCTGCCATCATGTACACCACGACGCTCGCGCCATTATGTGTAACACATGTAAAGTTGCCTGATTGATCATCATGCCACCTACCACTGCGAGTATGGATACAAAATGAACGGCAGATTTCTGCTAACTAAATGCCGTATTTATGATGTGTCAAATTATCCCTTGACATTCTGAGCATACCAAACACGTCGCTAGGACAGTCATCTGTGTCATATATGTCGGAATATAGTCAAGAAAACAAATTATGTTTGAGTTCAAATCACCCCCTAAGAAGATGTGTTCATGATTATTATCTAGCCTCGCTGTATGAAAGTAATCTTCAAGTAGAGATATACCGCCAGAGTCAATATCATTACAAATGAGTAAGTTCTCGGGCTAGATATATGTTAACAGGATGATATCACGATCCATATTCAAACGCGTGACAAGTAACAGTAGAGCTAAACTCTCACAGAATCAGATTATATCATATCTGAGACAAAGTTTCTTGAGAACGGAGAAGTCATTATCGTGTTTGCGTAAGTAAGAAAGTATGCTGACATTGGTGTCACATTCGTTCTGTTGTTTCAAGCCTTGGCCGTACGCCCAGCTGTCATTTAGAGTAGCCCCCCTTGCGCGATCACCACTTCCGCGTGGACCAGATTTAAAGACACTACCACGAGGGTTTCTTGACAGTTTATATCTGTAGGCGGTGGGAGATCTTGTTTGGAGTCGGGGAGGATCGTCGTCCAGATGCAAACACACTATCGTTCTTTTCCTGATGAAAAAACAAAGGTTTCTCCATCAATGATAAGCATATTTTAATATTTTTTATTTGATATTTTATATTTCACTTTCACATGTGTGTTTTGATCACGCGCTTGCGCAAATCACCGAGAGAGGGAGAGCCTATCCTCGCGCACACGTTGAGTGAAATCCTTTGTGACTCTCCGTTAACAATTCACGTGAGTGACACCTGTGTCACTCACACCCATCTCTACATCCTGTTGTAAATGACGCTCTCACTAAATGGCTGAAATAATGCCGATGCGACGTTAAATTTTAACTCACCCTGTAAATGACGCTCACACACTCACAAATATTATCTCGAAAAATATCCAGATGTTACAGACACAGGCGATACTGCCATCAAGCTCCATACCAAACTTTACCGATATTGTTATGATAGTGACTCCAGGCGTTACGTGCAATACAACATTATCAGCTGTGGTTATCGAGACTTCCATCTTCGTCGCCAATACACAGGACGTTAAGTATGTTTGCACCAACAGTCACGATTCACCGTCAAGGTGTTGAATCAAGGGGGGCAGGGGGAGGGGGTTGAAAAATATATACAGTATCATATAAAGTGCACTGTTACTGATGAGATAGGAGACAGAGACTGGGGCAGCTGAAATACAGTGGTGCAGGTATAGACAGAAGAAGATGTTCGTCACGCTGTTGTTCGCTTTGATGTTCGCTCTGACGCCTGGGAACGGTAATATGTTTTCTCGTTTATTGTAGAGTAGGATTTCCAGTTTGTTTTATTTCAATGCAACGACGCTACTGCCAAGGCTTTGAGTCTCCTTACACGTGTTGAGAGCAGATGGTACACACATGATATGGAGTAAATATTTCACCTTTACTATTAACAATATTCACTTCAGCTTTTCATTAGATCTCCTGATTGTTGGCATATGTACATAGACATTACTTTTTAACTTTGTCACAGCGCCAGTGAGCAACTGTCGATGGATATTAGGTGCTTTACAAATCAATTATTATTATTATTATTATTATTATTATTATTATTATTATTATTATTATTATATATTCAAATTATTTAGAAGGCTACCTCCCGTGAGTGTGACGGTGTCAACGTACGTCGTAGAATGCTTCGATGATATTATGATGTGATGCGCTTAGTTATTTGGATATAATCCACCTACTTGACCGCACTCTCTGAACGCCTTATATACTTATGATAATATGTGGAAACTTACTGTTAATATAAAAAGGAACGTTGTAGTATTCAGTTCTGACGTAAAGAGAACACATTTTATTTTATTTTAAAGAATAAGTACTCGAAATAACTGTTAATTATAATTTCTTAGGTAATTTAATTGTTTACAAAGAGAAGATTATTATATGTTGTTTAAAGTTTTTACCGAGAATGCTACTGAAGCAATGTCCTGTTTATTACAGAAAGCAAGGAATATAAATTTACCCTCAGATTGTTTACTTAAAGGGGCATTTGCGATAGGAACTACCACACTCTTAGGGGGCGGAGCTTATACGAGTGATCTGACAGGTCAATATGACGTCATGACAACACACAAATTTCATTGGTTAATGCGTAAACGGGTGACGTCATGTAAACACCCACCCGCGTTGGCCGTTCGACAACAAGGATGTAAGTTTTAATGGTAATAAATATCTATCAAAACGATTCCGAGACTTTTCAACAAACGCATAGGTCTTTGGTTTCAAAACCTACCTGCCTTGTCGTCTTCACATCTTCATAAACTGTTACCGTGGAATGTCCACGATTTATGTTATTATTCCAGTGCAACACACAAATTATAGTTTTTGAGCTATGCTCTTGACGAGAACGAAAATACGTTTGTCGTGATGAATAAGAACAGTGTAATTGAACAAAACACCATAATATGTATCACGGCAGCAATCGTAACCCGGACGTGTACGGTATATCTGCAGTTTAAGAATAGCATTTCTCACATTTGGCAAAGTCAAACCTGTCCGAAAGCTCCTCATGCCGAAGTCACTCGTTCCGTGAAACTTGACTCCCCATTGATTGGCATGCCAAGTGTCATTTGCATAAGACCATCAATATTTGTTGTTTGTGTTTCTCACTTCAAACCTCAACCAACTAGAAAGCAGGTGGATGAAACAAAATGTATTACTTATTGAAAAAACATCTTGCAATATTGTTTAAAGTTATTTTATGACATTTAAAACAAAGTTTAAACACTTGAAACCAGAATCCAGTTTATAAATTAATTTATTATGTAGATCGAGTCGCTTTCCTTCGGAAACTGAAGAAACATAAAGATGACATAGTTCCTTTATGACTGTGCAATTGTAGATCTAGTTGTATCGCTTTTATAAGTTTGGTGCACAATTTTACACAGCGGCAGGAAAAATTTAGACACGAAATCTTCATACTATTTCACGCCGGAATGGAGATGGGGAATTCAGATAAAACACGGTGTTGAGATAAATATTTGTTCACAATAATTCTGTCATGTGCGTGAAGATGGATTTCTACATTATTTTCATGAAGATTATTCAGTTTCCTGGCTACACGGATCATCATCCTTTCTCGTAACTACTTTGGCATGAACACAATGTCATATTCGGTCTCGAAGCCCAAAGCAACAATGTTGCTCTCAGATGCATTTGTTTCTCCATCCACGACGAGCATCTGTCATAACGCCAATGCCTCAACAATCTTCCTGGTCAATTGATTTCAACAATGTAATACACACAGCCTCATTCACTGCTTCATCACAAGATTCCTTCGAAATACCCACCAACATGATCAGGGTTATGACCTCGGGATGAATTAATGAATTAATCTGCATTTTTAGGAAAGAAATATTTTTGTGAACTATTATTGAAAACATGTTGTACATGGTATTTTTGGATTGCACTGCGGATTTCTTCTCATAACTTCCTAAAACCTTTTGTTTGACCCTTTCTGACCACGCGATCTCTTAGCAACCACACGCGTGAGCGTATCCGAGTTGGATCGCTGCTTACAACTTTCAAGAACTTTGCATGTTCGCTTGTCTTCAATATGAGAAACAAAACATTTTCGTGCGACGCTTAATGTGACGGAGAGATGATCAGGGGAGTCTTTGGTCATTTCAATTATGACATTGATGACTTTATCGTGGAGAAAGTTCCACTTCAAGATGATTCAACTCGAATCTACAGGATGGCGCCTCTCTTCCCGCCATTGCAAGTGCAGCTGAGTGCTTATGCTTGGGATTAGTGAATCAGTGTCACAGCCAGATTTCACTGTGGAAGCAGATGGAGGCGAATATGTCTGTTCACATTGTTTTTGTCAACCATGCCTGACATAGTATTCCCTGTCGAAGTTGGGGAATGGTGCGGCCACCATGTTGCAGAGATTCGTCGATTCAAAAACAGTGCTACAAATACTTCTGGACTGAGGTAAATAGATGAAGTGTTGGAGAGATCGTAGATACTCGGACTTGAAGAACCGGATGTTAAACGTAGCAGCAGATGAACGTGTGGTGTGGACAAAATTGGAAGTGATGCCAGATTGTATTTTTAAATAAAAACTTGTGCGCGAAGTGTATCCAAATCCAGTGAACAAAAAATACATGTGACACATGTGGATCTAATGATCAAACTCAGTTTTGTGTGTGAAGATTATTTGGAAGAAAAGGAAGTCCAAAATTAAGTTGTTTTGGGATATGTGTATAGGAGTGTTCGTTTATCGTAAGTACAATGTTATCCTGACAAGTCTGGGCATAAAATAGGTCAAAACATCACGGATATTTCGCTATTTATTTATCAGTTGCTTATGTGCGTTGTTTTCTTGATAGAAGAGGCAAATTCATATATTGTAGTCAAGCTAAGAAATACTGGCGCAACTTCTGCTGCTTCAAATTAAGCGTCTTCCTATACGTTAGTTGAAAAATATACTCACACGCAAAAGAAACGCAAGTCGAGTATGCAGTATACGTGTTATTTATTTTCAACAGTGAAGACAAGAATTACTAATAAGGCAAGATTGAAAAAAAATGACTGAAGACAGTTAATGGATTAAAAGGCAGATGACATAATTGTGTTTTTCAAATGTTAAGGGCTTACACAGTTTCGGGTCAATACCAAAAATGTCAGTCAATACCTGGTGTCACCACCATTATATATAATTAGCATTGATCACAGCCACACATCTCCTGTACATTGAGTGGATCAGACGATTTGTGTAAATCCTGGGGATCCTCCTGCATACATCCAGAGTAGCTGTGCGTAGTTCATCGGCAGTTGTAGGGACTGGGTGCACATTGTGCAGACGCCTTTGAACCTCATCCCACAAGTGTTCAGATCAGGGCTGACTGACGGCTGGCCACGGTAGAACACGGATGTTGTGTTGTTGCAGAAAGGCCATGGTAGCTCTGGCAACATCGGGACGAGCGTTGTCCTGCTTGAAAATGTGTTGTTGATGTTGTGCAAAAAATGGAACAACGTGGGGTCTGATCACTTTGTCGATATACCGCTGAGCAGTGACGCCGTGTCCCCGACCTTGACCAACATTCAGAAAGCACATGGGTCCAAGTCGCGCATTAAGTCCAATCCCTGCCCATATCATGACGCTAGGTCCACCCCATAGATCCCTTTCCACAACGTTTCTGTCAGCGAAACGATAACCTCGACGACGCCAAATTCTGACTCTTCCGTCTACAATGGGAGACACAAAAGCGACTTTCATCAGAGAAGATGACACGCCTCCACTCACGATGACGCGAGTTGCGATGACCCTGTGCCCACTGAAGTCGTGCTTGTCGATGCCGTGGTTGGAGAACAGGACGACGTTCTGGTCGGCGACATCTGAGGTTGTTGGAACGGAGACGTCGAATCACAGTGTCCCGGCTAATGTGTCGATTATGTGTTCCTATGGTCTGTCGAGCACTTTCATTTGCAGTTATGAACGGATGTCGCTGGTATTGACGGGTAATCTGCCGATCTTGTCGAGGTGTGGGGACCCTAGGACGACCGCTTCGAGGAAGGTCATCTGTGGTCTGTGTAGCATTGTATCGATGCAGGAGACGGTAAATTGTGGTCATGTTAGGGTTGAAATGACAGACTCTCCAGCTTCCAAACGTCCGATAGCCTAGTTTCTCTGACTTTGAGTTAGGCGTGGCATTGTTGACCGAGGAATGGTAGGTCCAAGTATCGGCCACAGTTTTATACCCACATTTTATACAGTTAGTGACAGTTCGTGCATTTTCGATTTTGCGAGAAATGGGTGCATGATACCCACATATCAATTGAAATGGTGCATTTTGGCGATTCGTTTTTTTATGTTGCGATTTTACTCGGGGCTTCCAAAATGCAACCAAAAATATTGATAACACCATCAGGCTTCACTACATGCCAAAACTCGTATCAATTTATGGTTCCGTATTTGTTACCTATTTGCTTAAAACCACTTGCGTTTCTTTTGCGTATGAGTACATGTGTAATACTTTAAGTTTTATAAATACAATATGATTAATGTGTGGTATAGATCTAACTGTTGAATGCAAGTGACTGAAACTTAACAAATGTCTGTAATTTTCGGATTGAACTAAAAGTATCTTGTGGCTTATACAGATGTAACTAACGTCACTTACGTATTTATGTATCGTTACTATTACATTGAACAAAACTGTTTTTGTGATGTTGTTCTTCTATAAATATATACACCATAATGCATTTTGAATACAAATGCATGGAATG